TAGATGTTCTGAAAGGATAACTAGACGCCTTAGCAGTTATTAGACTATACTTGTTGAGTCTCTCTGATTTAGGCTGGATGACAGCTGGACTTAAAGGCTTCGTAGGTTCTAGCCTCCATCTAGCTTCTCCTTATCATCAGGAAAGTAGATTATTCTTACAAAGGCAATTGGCAGAAGACCTGAAGATAGGTAATTAAAATGCATTCTCCAGTCCCAGGATGCAAAATTACAACTCATTGCTAGGAGTCAGAAGCAATTCATATTGGAAATTCAAGCAGTTTTCAGAGCTTGTAAATCACAGGAGATTGCCCATCTTTTCATTTGATGCAGCTAGTAGATTTAAACCGCTTGCTCAGGATTTCAGTACAGGTTATTGCCACTAGAAAAATATATAGGTATAGAGAATTCTGAGACTTTAAAAAATTCTACCTCTATAAACTCACAAGTATATTATAGAAAATAGTAGCAATTTTGATGTTAGCAGAGGTTCAGACAATTCACAAATGAGAAAGGAATAGTGCAGAGATTCTTGTCCAGGATTCATTGGGATTCTGTTATCTTGAAGACAAGCTCTGTCCCTCTATCCTCATCCCTAATCCTTGTGTGATGTCCAGAAGCAGAACTACCAGGTGTTATGATGGCCTATTGAGACTTGAAGGTAAGGACATGTCACCTTACCAGTAAGAAATACTTTTAGGAGGGTCCTGAACTAATTGTTCAAGCATCTACATTGAGGAGCCAATCTTCAGTTGTCAGGTTGGACATCACAATAACTTCTTTTCTCATCCTTTTCTTTCAGAGCACATCATTGGGGGTCATGTAGCAAAGCCTCATTCACGTCCATACATGGCATTTGTTAAGTATCGTCGGAATGAAACGATGAAGTGTGGTGGTTTCCTTTTGCAAGAGGATTTTGTCCTGACAGCCGCTCACTGCTTAGGAAGGTGAGGGGCTGAAACTCCAAGGATTACTCCCCAGAAACATGGCCACTCAGGGAAGCTCCCTCAGCTGTGTAGCACAGTCCCAAATGATCTCAACCTCAGAACAATTTAAGCACAGTGTGAGATGGGGGAAAAGGTCAACATGTAACATATGAGTTTGAGAAAATTGAGACATGTCAGAATCCAAACACACTGGTTATTGCATGCAGACAGTGTAGGTTGAGAGCAGGTGTGGTCAAGTAATTTTATATGACCTGAGGGTAAAAGAGAATTCCACAACCAACTCCAATGATGTTGAAAAACCAAAGGCAGCATGTGCTGGTCCAAAGGGCGTCCTCCCTCCAGCATTTCACCTCCGGAGTTGCCCTACCGTGACCCAGCTTTCACCTGCTTCTGAGGCTCCAGGGCTGCAGGTCGTGTGAGAACCTCTTCTCTGCTCTCTGTGCAGGTCCATGAAAGTCATCTTGGGAGCCCACGACTTTAAGTTGCAAGAAAACACACAGCAGAAAATTTCTGTGAAAGAAGCCATCCCCCACCCTAAGTATAATAATAGGACTTTTATCTATGATGTCATGTTACTACAGGTGAGGCTCACTC